CGTTTTAATTTGGACTGAAGTTGCAGAGAATTGTGGGTAACGGAGTATTATTTGACAAAGAGTTTCCGCACTCCCTATTCATGCTGTCCCACCAGCAAAATTCTGAGCCGATTGCATTATTTAGAAGTCAAAACTCGACAAAACAACAGCGGTGGTTTCAAAATCACAAGACAACCGGAAAGTCGATTTCAYTCCAATGGCGCCATCTGGCAAACCAACAGTATTTCGCGATTCTCTTTATAAAATTTTAAAAAACGCTTCACCTCTCTAATTACTTCAAGAAGAGGGCCTTTATCACCTAAATAAACTTAATGATTCAAACCTAAGGTCTCATGTGTAAGAGATTGATTTTCAAAAACATTTCTTAAAAACCATTTTTTGCTCGTTACTCGTGTGTTTTGATAGAGCTTTTCGGTAACCTGACAGGCATTCCTAAAAAGTTTGACTCCTTCGGTTATACAAAACAGCAACGGCATCCTGTGCCTAAAGTGATTTTTGAAGTATCGAGCCTTCAAAACACTTAAAATTACCACGGAAATCTTTGAGGAAAAGGGTTAATTCTACTCTTGCATCCTACTGCAATGCATGCTACCTTACTTCTACTTTAACTGCATGGCTTAACTATCACAAATACTTACCTGCGGTGCCGTTTTGAAAATAAATTTTCGAGATTCAGTAAGTTTCGAACAACGGCTTTGGCATGATCTATCGGACAGCAGCTTGTGAATCACTTACCATGGAATACTAGTAGATACTTACTKACCGCACACCACGTTCAAAAAATTAACCTTTTCCCAAGTCGATTACAACATAGATTAACTATGATTACAAACATGTGCACTAGAAGTCGTAACCTCGGTGTCCGCTCTACACCTTTTCACATACAGGTAGTACGTTATATACATATCTAACAGAGTGCAAAACAAACACAAGACTRACATGAAGCAAACATGAGACAAAGTCACAAAGACGTCTTGATTACCAAAAGAATGTCAAGGCAAAAGGTACATGAAGCTAATAATAAAGTTACTCAACAAGTCTCGTGCAGTACGTACCCACACACTCCTGAATCAGGTGTCTGCATGAAAGCTGCGTGAGCATCAACTTGTGGTTGACCAGCTTTAGCCAAGTGTTGTGCTCCAGACGTGGGTAAATGTGGCTGTCGYCCAGACTTTCTGAAGGCGTTAGATGCACTACGGTTACGCTGTGATGGCTGAGCATATGAAGGAGGTCCTGATGGAGCTGAGCGCTTTGGTTTAGCTGGGCTGTGATGACTGATAGCTGGTATTCTTCCGGGTCCTAAAAGCGATAAAACAACAATCAAGATTATCAAATTAGAGAATAATCGACAACATCGACGTCATTCCTGTCAATAACATATCGGTCAGTCGTCACATTTGTAATTCTTCTTACTTGTATCTCTTGGTAATCCACTTGCGATACTAATAYTGAGAGACTTTCCTGAGGCCTTCAAAAAAGGGAATTCTGTGTCCCCCTTAGAGAAYGTAATGACTCGGGTGCCTCCACCGCCCCATCCTTCTTTCTTAACTGTAAACGTGATGCTATGACAAATAAAACAATACAAGTCACGGAAAACGTTTGTGTGTGTCTGCGCTTTTTTTCTCTTTGGACAATTCAAAATATTTATATTCAGAAACCTGTTTATTTAAGCCTGTGTAGTTAAATATTAGACGAAAACATTAGTGACAAAAGTAACATGCAACATATCATTTCATCATTCTAACCATCCTTTCTTACCTTCCCATGATTTCGATTTTTATATCTCTCCCTGTTGCATCTTTATACTTTGAAGATAACAACGTCAAAAACTCYGTCTTAAAAACCGTCTCTAGAACACTGTCATACTCAGGAACATGCARAACTAGGAAGTCATCCTGCAAATGACTGGAAAAGACATTGGTATCGTCAGATAATTCTACTTTGCTAGYAAAAAGAGTGTATGAATTTATATATTATAGGTCGATGATGACYGAAAACCGAACACAAGAAATAAACAAATATTTGATATAAAAACAATAAAGCATTCAGTATTGAACACGTTAAGATTKATACGTAAACCTTGCAAAAGTACTGGAATACCTGAGAGATATCGATGCAACTGTCTTGACATCCAGTTTTCGTTTGACAACTTCATAYACCCTGCCTTTTTCCGGTCCCTTCTTAACCTATACACAATGAATATCATTAGGATTTACGACCAAAGATAGTAAAATTAAATTGATAGCTAATAATTATGTTTACCTTCTCTCGTCCAATGAGATAAATGTGTTTGCTTGATAACAAAAGATCTCGCTTTGTTGGCTTAAAACGACGATCATATTTATTAACGGTGGCTGCAAATTCGATCCTCTCCCGTTTCTCTGTAAAAYWCAACACAAATAACAATTKATATCATTCAGTATCAAATACAAGSGCATGAAACTAATAACACAAAAAATATAACATTATTGAAGAAATGGGTGACTGCAAACTATATTTTATAAACAATTGTGTTGTCGGACGACTGACTCCAAGATCTGCATAATGTACGATGAACAAATTGAGATTTTTTAAAATTGTTGCATTACTTGTACCTTTACGCTCATTTGGAGATAAAGACTTGCAATTAATAATAATACCATTCTTCGTTTTAAGGTTACGTCACATCGGCCATCTTGGAGGAACTTTAACAAAGGATTTCTCATCTATATCTACTGTTCATTCCTCCAATATGGCCGCCGGTCTTTTATCTTTTGAATCTCATGGGAATGGTTGAAAACGATGAATTGCATACCTACAAGACTTCTGAGTGCAGGGTTCTCGTCGTAACCAATGTAATCACCAACAAAGTTACGATTAATACTTCCTCTCCTTCGCTCTTTCTTGTTAAACAAGATATCAGAGGCTGTGTCGRTACAAAATATATCATTATTAATCAAGAGTAATAACATCGCAGCAATCATCATCATACTMTGTGAATACCTTGCTGCTTGAGTTCAGCGAAGTACTGCCTATTTTTGTACATCCTGTAYGCTTTCTGGATACGTCTTGCATACCCATCAAACTTACGCTCTCTCAATTCTTCCAGTAAAAAGAGCTGAATATATTAGAAAGATGTCATTAACTTAAACTTAAACAAAACATTAAATAACATTAAAAATATGGAAAAATAGCAAACCCGTGGACCCGACCTCTGGAGAGTGTTTGAATTGATCGATGGGGATCTAAAGCATAGTTGACAGTCTGAGTTGCATRACTTCTACAACTAATCGCACCCTGCTATTACCGTGTTGTACAAGAGCGAGTACACAAGAAAACCAAAACTAGGCAGTGGATGCTACATAGGGGGGATTTTAGAGCTTATTAACTCATAATTGATCCACTCCGTTTTGAGGCGATTCTTTAGATGACATCATAGTGAAGGAGTCAATCAGCGTTGCCAATCCGCACCTAATGGGCGGCAAGGCAGGACTCGTGACAATACCTGGCCAGAGAAATGCCAAAATGATAAATGAAATATGAGTAATAGTTCCCCTAGATTTCATGCTCTGTCATCTTCTTAATCGCTCTGAACAAGTAAGTTTAACTTAAAACTAGATGCTCTGATGTAGCGCCAACTCGTACCCTGATATGCCTTGGGGCTAAGCGAGATTTTGAACTAACATTGATCTCCATTTGGTAATATACTTTGAGTTGCAATTGATTTACTTTAGATAAGCAAGTGAACTGTCCTGAWATAGATGCTGTATAACAATCAGCACTCTTTGTGTTAGATGTTTGTTTTTATTTTTCCTGGATTGACCCTTCCCTAGTGAAGTTTCATCTTAATCCAATCTATATGTATGATTTTCTGAGTGATTTTGACCTCCATTTAGCCATTTTGAGGAGTGTACCCTAACTACCCTGAGGGTAAATCGCACTAATAATTTAAGATTATTATTTATAGCATTTTAACTATGAAATACCTCAATAAATCGTAAAACTGTGCGAAGTTTAAGCGAAATCGGTAAACCCCCATGTAGCACCCACTACCTGGTWTTCCCGTGGACCCATCAGTTCTATTACTTAAAAATACAAGTTGAATTAAGAATATCCTACGTACGTTGCCAGCAATGTATCTTTCAAATAACAGTAAAGAGGCAGTAACAGAACAGAATGTTATATCTGATGGAACTGCCTGCTGGAAAGTGTACGCAAGACTTACTGATTCTGGAGCCTTGATAAACACTTTGGTTTTCCCWAGCTGCCATTGATCRCGCTCCATGTTCACAGCGTTCATCAAATGAGTGATTCCTTGTCGTACCTCACCYCTCCACTTCGGCCATGTTTCTTGTGTTAATATTGCATATCTTTTCGAACAAAAATATATAACAACAATCATTTTCACTTAATTCGTCTTTTATCTGCTTTGGTACACTATACTCAAGAATTAGACTGCTAGGTCAAGTGGACAACGAGTTGATAGTCCATGAAACAAACAAACACCACTGTCCATTTATTTTCCAAAGTTGAGGAAAACCACCATGGAAAAAATCTTTTTTTTTTTTTTTGCCTTCATGGAAATCCGTTAAAAGCTCTTTTTTTATTGAAAGGGGGAGGGGGCCTTTAAAGTTATGAAATTTTTGATAATTCTKGAATAGCCGAGAATTGTCATAAGGGCCTGAGTCGAGGTTAGTRTGACGTCTACTAAAAGGAACCAACATTCTCACATCAGAGGTCGCGGGTTCGATTCATGTTGAAGCGCAAAATTTTTTCGGGCAATACATTTATTAATAATTACTTAGATTATTGCTACGATTACTGCGACGATCGCAATTCCTTACACAYTTGTTAACCGCAGTTTCGGAAATTTGAGAGATGAATCCTCAGTAGACGTTATACTGGTACAAGGCATCTGGTTCAAACAGAGCGCATTTTTCCGAACAGGCGGGAAATTTAAAATAACGTTAAAATTCGGTAATTCATCCGATTCATAATCTTTTTTCGGCAAATTACTATTTTTAATGTATAGGTTAACTTATTATAGAAATGTTTTGTAAAATCTAGTTCATATCCACTTATAAAGGAATTAATATGGAAGACGAGTACTATACCTCTGCAGGAATTTGTCAAAGGGTCGTCTGTAGGCAAAACCGGCTCGGCGAACTCTGATGTTCTCTTTCAATCCCAGATACTCAACTTGATGCTTCACCCTGTCACCCTCCCAATCATGTGCCCGTTTGGTTTCATTTGGCTTGATACATCGAATATAATGAGGCGTACACTTCATCAGCTTCTCAACGAGAGTATTTGCCTGGGACTATAAAAAGTTTTAAAATTGAAAATATGAGAATACTATTGATTAAGATTGCAATATAGTATAATTTCAGTGATCAGAAAGAGCTTTTTTTTCAATTAAATAATAATTGAAAACAAAAAATTGAAACATACCTTGATCTTAACACTAGCTGTAGTTGGTCTGCCTCGTTTGTCACTTTTGATATCATCAGGGAATAATGCACGAATAAAAGGACTGAAAACCAAAAAAACAATTCAATAAATACTACAATACCCCGATGTGCATTGTGCGTTTGTAATTTAATATTGATTAAAGTGCATATGACACGATTTTTTTAATTTGAAAAATAGAGTCAATAGAACAAGCATAACAGGTTGGCTAATTACCACTTGATGCAGGGCTTCAAATTTCAGAGAAAATCGGAGTTAAAAATCCATTATGCTAATTTGATGACGTCAATGTGGTTGCTCTAAAACATTTCAACTGTGTTTTGTAACAAGTGTTCCTAATATACCCATGTCAAACTTTGAAAGATTGCTTTTGATTACATAACAAATATCTTCTACAAAACAAATAAGGTGACAATAAACAATCTGACAATTTTGTATAATTAATTAGTTACACTTTGACGTCATCAAATTAGCATAAAATCCATTTTTCTCTGAAATTAGAAGCCTGCATCCAGTGGCACTTTACAGAACTATTATTTTCTTCATATTGATTTTATTTTCAAAACAAAAAAATCATGCCATATGCACTTTAAAATGGATAGTAAGTAAGTAATACAATCAAAGCATATATTTGTTGTCGTGCTATCCACGTAATAGAGACACTAAAAAGTTAATAGCAAACAAATTTTTGACATACTTCTCACTGCCTTGCATTAGCTCAATCAAATCCTTGAACAGAATGTCTCTATTTCTTTCACAAAAACCATCAGCATCATATGAAACCTGTTAATCAGATTTTGCATTTTAAGTTTTACAACAATGGTACGTACACTGTAGTGTTTGTCAAGTAATGGGACTTTGAACGACTTGTAATCATGAATTTCGTAGAAATTTGTTTCGCTGAGACCTCAAAGGACCTCGAAAGAACTCTCATTGTTGTTTTTGTTTTTACTTAATATATTGTCGACCTTTACGCACTAAATCGAGACATTTCAGCTATTGATCGYTTTCAACCATTCCCATGAGATTCAAAAGATAAAAGACCGGCGGCCATGTTGGAKGACTGAACAATAGATACTAATTAGAAATCCTTTGTTAAAGTTCCTCCAAGATGACCGCTGTGACTTGAAAAGGAAGAATAGTAGTAAGTTCGAGGAGACCACCTTTAACAATAAGTCTAGCATCCCACCTTTCCAGCATAATGATGAATAACAAATCCTCCACTACAGGGTTGGAAATGCTGATGACTGCCAACAGCATTGCTTAGTTTCTAAAAACGAAAAAAAAATTACCGYGAGAAAAATAACAAAGGTTTTGAAACTATTTTGGCTTCTTTTTTGAGTGCTCATCAACATAAGGATTAGGTCCCATTGACGATTCAGAATTGACAATTCTTTGGAGAGCATTCCAAAACTTTTTCAAATGAAACCTATTCTTAATGTTAAAAGTAGTTGGAATATGATAAAACTACCAATCAGACATACTTCTAGGCAAAGGGTATTTGATTTGGTAACTGACCTCCAACAATGTTGCATCAGCTCCTTCTCCTACTGCATGCATTGTAGCACACACATCATCCATGACACACATCACGCCTGGTGGACGCTAGTAAAAACACCACATTATCTTATTGTACAATAGAGGAATTGCAATTCCTAAGCTACTTAGAGTGATTTTCATCGGACTGTGAAAYAGTTCCTACGCTAATAGACGCTAGTAGACTCTACAGCCATTGCTKWCTTTTATTGTAATACAACTATTAGACASTATTAAACACTGACTAGWAGTAATTGTTTCACAGACGGATRAAAATGACTCTATTTATTCAAAAACTAATTGTAATTTGGAAGATTCCACATTTTGAAGCTTATAAAAATATGAAGTCATTCCTGAACTTGCGTTGTAGAGTGTACCTTAGATTCAATCAAGTCACAGACGATCTTGTTATTGAAGTAGTCAATTGGAGACCAGCTTATGCCTTCTTCAACATATTCTTCTTGTTCTGCCTTCAGTGTGAGCTCAATAAAGATTTGCTGCAGTTTCTCATTTACAAAGTTGATACAAAATTGCTCAAAGCCATTTTTCTGCATATGTAAAAAAATACAAAATCCATATTTATGTGACTGTCTTTTATCCAAGTTTTTAACTTGAAAATTGAATAGTAGTAATAATATTAATATGGTGATATTATGGTTATCAACTGTCAAAAGAAAGTCTAAACAACAAGAAAATCAACAAAAATGTTAAAAAAGACCCAAAACAACAATGAATTAAACTACAATCCATGCATGACTAAAACAGTGCAGCTTAATTGATATTAACATATTCATACCTGGAAAATTTCAAAACCATAAATATCAAGGACACCAATGGCTAACTCTTCCACATCTTTCTGCATAGCCTTATTAACAGACTGAAATTAAACAAAGTTCATCACTATTCTAGTATAGATTTGTGGTCCTGATAATTTCACAATGGATGGAAAAAAATTGAATTGACTCCTTCACGGATACCTGCGCCATCTTGAAAGGTAGCCGTGCCTTTGCACCGAAGCGAGACGACCGTTGAGCGTGCAATGATAGAAACCTGTGAATAATTGTCTGTAGGTGTGAAAGAAGGTTTCTATCATTGCACGCTCAACAGTTGTCTCGCTTCGATGACAAGKCAYGGCTACCTTTCAAGATGGCGCAGKTAACCGTGAAGGAGACTATTGATTAAATAAATCACATGCAGTCTGCATCTGGAASTAATATTGKTCRTGTTGAATGGCATTATGCTGTCAATAAAAAATGTTGAATCACCTGGACAAGAAAATCAAAAAGTCTAGAGTATAAAGCTTTGGCAAGTGCATCTCTKGTATAGCAGGCCTGCAAGACAAGTAAAAGTACATATTATTAATAGATGRATAAATACCTAAAGAACAAATGAGTTTTTGACAAACTGTCTGCAGTAAGATAGAAGAGAAAGAAGAAAAGTARGGTGTTTACCTGTTCAACATTCAGCTTCATGTTTATTACTTCAGACTTGCCACCCCACTTACTGTCCATTATACGACTGGAAATCAATAGTTTTGATTTTTTTGTCACATTTTAACCTTTAATTCATCTTMATCAAATAAAACAGTTTGTTCTAATTTTTGAGTCACAATTTTTATATAAATTAGCATTAAATTGACTTTAACTTGGATTTTCTCTAAAAATAATATTTTTTTCTTCAAGTTTTTAGCAAAATATGCTTAATCTTATGTTGGCATTTGATAATCAATATATTTAATATTAGTATAAACATACTAATGGTCGCATACTCATACTGCGCTGTGATTGGTTACTCTACTAATGATCTAATTTGTGATAGACCACTTGCGGGAAAATCAAAATGGCGGCATCTCATTAATAAATTATTTTAAGGACTTTTCGACTTGTTTTCATTATTTGACCGATTAGTATGTTTATACTAAAACTATTAGCTCGTAGTCCACTCGACCTCGAGGTCTAATTGTTAATTAGTGTCCAACCTTTATGGGCTTTACAAGTAAAACTGATTGCTTACAGCTCACAGTTTTAAATSCCCATAAAGGTCTCCCACCCGTATTTTATATATATTAAATAACAGTAGTCAGCAATAATTGGTCCAGACATCACTTTAGAGTGCAAATGAATTCCATATTATTGAAAGTCTAGGATAACCTATCCTATTAAATAGGAATTTGCTGCAAAAGTTTTTTAACATATCATTTTTAATTCCCGCAAGTTCGGAAAAATGCACACTCTTTGAAATCAGGGGCCTGGTTYGCGTGAGATGTCTACTAAGGAATCATCTCTCAACATTCCCAACCTTTGAAAGGAAATGGTTGAAATTCGTARGTAATTGTTCCTTTATGCACCAACCCTATCAACGTTAAACCCCTACCACTACTGCCCAAGGGATATATCAAGAGATGAGAGAACCTTGGTTCCTTAGTAGACATTATACTACGCTTGACCCATGCCCCTATGATAGTTTGCAGCCATTTCAGATTCATTGAAGATTTCACTAAACTTCAAAGATTCAAAAAAGAGGGTTTTAACTGATTTCAATGAGCCACCAAAAACATTTGATTTTTCCATGKTGGTTTTCCTCAACTTTGGAAAAAATAGAGTTCACTTGAAATATAAAATGAATAGAATGTCAATATRTGGGACAGAATGTCATACCTGGTTAATTTTTCTTTCAGTAGCTTTGGCTGAACTTCAAATAAATATCCAGGATATTGTAGAACTGGAAAAACAGAATTGCCATTAAGTTAATATTGTTATTAAATACAGAGATAATTTAAAGCTATGTACTTACATTCCTCATCAGCAGGAGTGGCATAATTTCCATCTTCACTAAAACCAATGTTTCCYAAATGCAGTACACCAGCAACAAGAGCCAAACAGTCAGCTTGATTCTCATCGCTAATACCAATAACATCCATAGCTTTCTGATAAGAAAATGTTTACATGGATGTTTACCAACCATAATGATTAGAACACTACAGCAACTGAAGYCTTACTCTAGTTTCTTCATATTCTTTCACATCATCTGTACCATCAACAGAGTAAGTTCCACTTTGATTGAGATAATAGTAATAGGAAGGATCCGTTAACCCAAACTTTTCTGCAAAATGACAACAAACAAATATTACACAGTAGAAATACAGATTTCAAAGTGAGCGTAAAAGCACAAGTGATGCAATAATTTTTAAAAACAACACAACACTTTTAAATTTCAAAGTCGAAACATGTCTTTGAAATTTAAAAGTGTTGTGTTATTTTTAAAAATTAAATACAGATTTCAAATTGGCATKATATCAGTCATTGAGCTCTAGAGGTTTCATAATTGACACCCCTCTGTTATCTTGYGCTGGTGGTTTTTGAAACTTAAAAACAAAACTTTCCCCTCCCACCAAAGATGGATACAGTTTTTTCAAATGACCCACCCTCTTGACCATGTCTTATTGACATGACCCCCACTCTCATTCTTATGAAATATGTTGYATTGAATACAAAAGTAAYATTATTATAGGATAATCACATTTTGCATGGCCCCCCTCTAACATGGTTTTTGTTGGGTACTCTCCTGAAAACCACCAGCCCCCTTTCCCAATAATGAATGATAATAATAATTTGTACATTGGACCTGCCATTAGACTAGAAAAAAGCCTTTTTAAAAATAGCCAATAGGATTCAAACTTGCATTGTGTGCTCATGATATCCGATTATGAAATATACTTTCATGAATACATATGTCGCGCAAGTGAATATAGTACCTATTGTAGCTATAATAGTAGCTGGTGCTAGCTAGTATAGCTGGTGTACTTGCCGTAACTAGTGTACATCTACACTAGCTGTGGCAACTACACTTAGTTAAACTTATAACTACACCAGCTACAGCAACTACCAACCACACCAGTTACAGCAACTACAGCAACTACCAACCACACCAGTTACACTAGCTACAGCAACTACCAGCCACACCAGTTACACTAGCTACAGCAACTACTAACCACACCAGTTACACTAGCTACAGCAACTACCAACCACACCAATTACAGCAACTACCAACCACACCACTAGCTATGGCAACTACAACATCTACACAAGCTACGGCAACTACACTAGCTATAGAAACTACCTAACAATACATC